TCTAATGGTTAATGGCTGTGAAACATAGGTAGTTAATTCCCTGCCTTCCCCGCCCACACAGAATGAAACACTGACATTTGATGTCTTCAAAGTATGTCCTTTGTCTAACCCTGCTCTGGACTCGTTTGCTCTATTTCCCAGACTGTAGCCTTGTGAGCTGCTGTAATGTCTATCAGCATAAGTCATGCTGACAGGCCAAGGCTCTGATAGCTAATGTTAATAACATAAATTGAAGAGAAACATGAGAGACCTAGAAAAATTTTATAGATCCCATTGCCTGAGTGGAGGGGAGCCACTCACTAATCTCAAGGCTGCCCTCTCCACATGAATTTTTCAGATTAGCTGTTTAGCTGTTTTTTCAGGGTTTTTTGTAGTTTCAACTAAGGTGCTAGTTGTATTTTTAAAGTGAAAATAAAGTATGTACACTGACAAAACTAAATGCCCTGCTGAGTTGGGAGGGTGAAAGGGGAGCATAGCATGTGAACACCACACTCAGCTGCCTTTCCCCTTGCCATTTAAATAGTCCAAGTTAAGGGCAGCCACAGTGCTGACATTCCTGTTTCCCACCATTTGTAATTGCCTCTGTTTCTGGCTGTATTTTTCTGAGGATTTATGAATTACTTTTAAGTTCTTGTTCTTTCATCAGTTGGGTTAATACAGGAGAGGACATTTATATTTCTTGCTTATGGTAAAAAATATGGTGAGCCCAGTTATATGGAAAGTTTAAAAAGCAAGTGCAAGCCTGTTTTAAGCTAGGAGGAATTATTTATTTTGGCTGGGAATAATAGCTGAGCACTGGCAAGAGTGCAGTGATGCTAATTACGTTGATGCTTTATTAATGGCTTCAAGGTGAGGAATGTGTGTTTCCTTGTCTGTCTGTAAAATCAGGCTGTGCTTTCCACATAAAAAGGCATTGGGATTAAGAGGTCATTTCCTTGGGAGGACTCTGAATGCTGCTGCACTCCGTGTTCCCATCCTGACATCTGGACAGCTTCAAGTACGACTGGCACAGACCCTCCTAAGATCAAGGTCAGACTGTCTGCATAATGAATGGCAGAGAATTCATTTACCCTCAGATGTGGCAGCACAGTTGAATGATCTCTCTGCAGTTTAACCATACATCTGGGCATTCTGCACTTAATTAATTGCAGCACAGAGAATCCTGCAGCAAGTGGCCCTCTCAGAGGCCTGCAAGGGACTGTCCAACATTGTGTATTGCCTCTGTATGCCTTCACCAGGGGCTTATAAATTCAAGTTTTCCAGGTTCGCTTCTTTCAGGCTCACGCAAGAAAAGAGATACTTTTAGCTTAAATAGAAGTAAATAGTTCAGTCCATTTTAATTTTTGCCACTTCTAACATTAGATTTTGCAGGCTGGTGGCTAAAGCCTGGCATATTCTAAGGTCTTTTTGCAGAACCTGACATTAAAAATAGAATTTATATGCAGTTTTGGAAAAATTCACTGTTGGCAGACTCGTTCTGTTCAAGTTGGAAAATATTTTGCCTATTGATTTCAATGAAAAATGTTAGGCCCATGGTAGGAGTTCTTCAAAATCTACTTCTGACTGTATTAGAAAAGTTCCAGAAAGCTTATCCACCAATTTACTTTTCAGAGTAGCATTTCATCACCTTTTGACAGAGTTGCCATTTATTCATCTTGACAGATCTAGACAACAAGCACAAAAATGATCTCTTAAATATTCTTCTTAAATAATAATAACCAGATTTGGATGTCACACTATACTGACATTCATGGCTCACGTGTACCTTCACTAAAACTTTGCAGAAACACTGATGTAAAAGTAAGTTTAATGAAATTATTGGGCATTCAACAGAAATTTAACTTTAAAAGGATAAAGTCTGTCTTACAAACTATCAAATATAGACTAAGATATCTTCATGTCTGGCCAGCCTTCTTTAAGAATTTCTGTATTTCTGCTGCTGAAAGTACTGCCAGTGAAATATTTGCCATCAGTCTGTAGAACAAGTAATTGTTGACATGATTTGGAATGGATTTTACTTGAGAGTAGGATACATGAGCCATCTGGTGTTGTCTATTATTACAAACAGGTATTTTGTTTGTGTGAATAATCTCTTTTTTTTATACCTTTTCTGATTAATATTGTTACTGTTCATTTTCTTATCTCATTG